GATTTTATACAGTATATATTACTGTTCTTAAACTAGTTTGATCGTATCGGGGGAATGTTGAGAACTCAACCGATGATCCCTCTTGTTCAGATTTGCCATACTTCAATCACTTCCCATCTGCAGAACTTCAAAGCATACCTGGAAATGAATCACATAGAAAAGAATGGAAATTAATCAACGGATTACTTAATGGATATAATGTAATTCCAAAGAAAGTGAACTTATTTGGTAATCTCATCAATTAATGTTCATTATAATAGAATGCCAAAAACTTACACTACAAACTCGAACTGGTTTATTAATAGAGAATTTCAAAATTGGAATGTCATTGTTCGAACATTTACTACACAAGATGCGGCCACAGTGTCGACTATGTTAAAATAAAAAGTTGTTCTTTTAGCAAAAAAATTATTACTTAAGTTTAATGCAATATTTTGTTTTACCAGTGATGTTTCCTCATTGTAATTGTGAATTTTGTTCCGCATTCTTGGCATAATTCCGATGTAGCCCATGGTGATTCTTGTGGCAATTGATCTAACAGTTTATGTAACAATTGATTGGTAGCCAATTTATAGTTGAAAATTGTAACGCCTTCCTTATTTTCAGCTCCAAGACAAGCACCATTTTTCACAAGAACTTTACAGAGTGGAGCCTGACCTCGCATAAATGCCAATAACAATGGTGTATTACCTTGCTGTAATTCGGGAGTATTTATTGGATATTTTGGCATACACTCGAGAAAAAGTTCGAGAATAGCCGCTGCTACATTGTCTTTTCCACTGCGACAGAGTTCATGCAATGGATTTCGTCCTTTTAAATTGATCGCCTCCGCGTTGATACGTGATTCTGTTAATAGTTCTCGAACAACAGAGAAATTACTTTCACGTACGCTAATGTGTAACGCATTGTTGCCATCTCCATCTACAGCATCATAGTCTGCACCATTTTGAAGCAAAGCGGATACGGCTGGTAAATTTCCACGCTCTTAACAAAAACGTAAAAACGAACAATCAGAAAATTTAAATGAAAACCAATTGTTTTAATCAAAATAAATTATAAACTAACCACTTGCAATATGAAGTGCCGTTTTTGAAGCGCTATCTTTGTCATTGATACGAGCCCCAGCTAATATTAAATTCCTTATGAGCATTTCATTTTTTGATGATGCAGCCAAATGTAATGGGGGTGTTTGATTTACGTCGTGAACTCTAGAGTTTACATCCACTTGAATCGATAAAAGAAATAAAACACTCTCCAAGTCATCTTTCATAATAGCAATATGTAAAAAGTTTCTTCCGCGGTTATCATTTTGTTCCGCTGCATTTTGTAATCGTTCAAGTATGCTTTGTGCTGCCTTATGATTTCGAAAAGTAAGAGCACACGCAAAAACAGTATTACCAGATTTATCACGTATTTTCAAATCAATATTTGGATGACATAACAAAATCTTAATCATTTCTTCGTGTTGATTCTCGATGGCGATATGTAAAGGAGTTTTGTTTTGAGAATCGACACTATTCACATTTGCGCCATGATCGATTAAATGTTGCAGGACACGGACCAAACCCCATTGACAACACAAGTGTAATGGTGTTGCTTTCTCTTTAGCCTCATCACCACCTTGGAAAAGATAATAAATTTTAAAATTTTCTCACAAATAAGAGGCCAGCTGTTAAATATTTGATAGGTTACAGCGAGGCTCTCTCTTATCCACCCATCCCATAATTATAATTACCTTCTCCGTTTGGGCCAGGTTGTCTAGGTGAATCTAGATCGCAACGACTTCGAATTAAGAATATCGCCGCTGTTTCGCGATTTTCATCAATTGCCCGATGTAAAAGAGTCTGTAAACATCCGTCCGGTCCATTTGGGCTCCAACAATCTGTGTCAACGCCGTGTCGTACTAAAACTGAGGCGATTTCATCTTGTTCTGATTCAAGAGCCGTCCAAATCGGCGGATCTCCCTTAAGAAATATAAATAAATTAAAAAATCATTTTTTTTTCAAATTTTAAAAATGAATGATTAAATTTTAGTACCTTACTGTTTGGCGAACTGAATGAAACTCCCAAGGTACAAAGTTCATCCACAACAGTTGGTAGACGGCAGTGTATCGCTAATTGCAGAGGTGATTCTTGATCTCCAGTCAAAGCATTATAGTCTGCACCTTGTTTTAATAAGAAAACTGCTGTTTCAGTATCCTCTTTCAAAATTGCCTGATGCAAAAGTGTTAAATCTTGTCCATTGCGAGCGTTCACATCAGCACCGCCTTGAATTAAAAGCGGTACCAATTCCTTGGCGCCCATGTTTAATGCAATACTTAATGAAGAATCACCATCTACTGTTTTCAAATTGAAGTCGGGACTTTCTTGATTTTCACTGGAATTCTTTTTAAAATCCACCAACATTTTAATAACGTCAATGCATTCATTTTCTACAGCATAATGTAATCCAGTTTTCATTTCCTCAATGCTCGACTGTAGATTTGGCAAGGCACCATTCTCAAGCAATGCTTTCACAAGTGTTGGTAAATTTTTTTGGCATGCCATATGAAAAGCCGTTAAATTTTGACGATTTACGAAATTCACATTTGCATGTTGCGATAGGAATATTGCCGAATCTTCAAGTTTTGATTTTATCAATAATTGCAATATGCTATCACCACTTTCACCATTAATTTGATTTGTCTGTGCGCCTTTTTCAATCAGCTTTGTAGCCAAATCATACGGTGGACCCGTAGTGTATGGCGGCATTAATGCCAACTGTAACGCGCATTTATCATCGTGTGTCCGAATATTTGTGTCTAAATTAGGAGTTTGAAGGAGCAGCTCAACCACTTTTGTATTTCCCGAAATAATTGCCAAGTGTAATGGGGTACTATAATATTATTTTAATTATAATAAAAAATAATACATTTTTAATTTTTATACTATAAATTTATATTGATTTTAAGACATAATTGGTCTTAGGGCAGGATGTAATTGTATAACTGAATGCTTAGAATAAAATGTAAGAAAAATATTGTTTGAAGATATAACAAGAACATATTCTGAAGCATGTTTACTTACTATCCTTGCCGGTTTTGCACATTCGGATCGGCATCTTTTTGAATTAAAGTTTCTGCTACCATAATCATATCACTAAAAGTTTCTGCATCACATGATTTCTCTGAATATGTGCTCACTAAGTGTAAAGCGGTATCGTTAGAAACATTTGATACAAGATTAACATCGCAATCTTTCTCCAGCAAAAATTGTGCAGCGAATCCATCACCACGTTTTATTGCATCGATTAGCAAGGTACAACCCTAAGACACAATAATAATAAGATATCTCACAAATGCATGTTTTTAAATTCAAACTTACGTCGCCGTTATATGCATTCAGATCGGCTTTTCCATTTTGAACGAGAGTATTGGCGATTGCAGTGCTTCGATTCATCAAAGCAATACCAAGTGGCAATTGGCCTTGTTGCGATAGACCGTTGACCACTTCAGATAACTATTTAAAAACATGGGAAGAACAAATTTATTTATCATTGTGAAATTGAAAACAAATACCTATCAACATTTTATCTTTGAATTTTTAAAAGAAATCAAAAAAATGTCTTAGTGTTTAAACAATTTGAACGAATGCATTGATTAATATCGACTAAAAGAAATTAGTTTTGTTTTAAATCATTAAAGGGTTAAATGAAAATCGCAAAAAATAAGGTGAAGTAGATGCAAAAATTATTTTTAGCTTGGTGTTTGAATATGTTCCAAATATTTACTGAGATAATATTATCTAATGGTAAGAATAAAAGAATCCATAATACGAAAAATATTGATTGTGTACGTTTGCCACCTCGATATTCTACCCTAAGTGATTCAAATCTTTTATACAGTACATATATCTAGCGGAATTTCAGCTCTTCTTGGCTCTATACTGTATGTATAGTGCATAGTCTGTATTGGAGCTATTTGAGTGATAGTGTCATGCCGACGACGCTCAGACGGTGTCAACCGTATAAAACCAACACAAATCCGAGTATTTTTGATGATTTATATTCGCATTTCTTCACATACTATACACCAGATATGTATGTATATATGTCAGCTGCTTGCCACGCACAACTTATATTCACACACTTGCAACTCAGTCTTCACTTGTTTGCGTTTCTTTTTTTTGAGTATGAGTTATCGCTTCGTTTGTATAGTCAAATATATACATAATATTTGATGCTACGGTTTCCACTAACAAAATTTCAGTACACTTGAAACCATCGTGCAAAGCAAACCGCTTAAAAAACGCTGTGAAATATAACAAAATTTATAGAAATACATTTTATCGGATAAAATATTTCACTCTAAATTTGAACATTTGATAGCCTTTTTTAGTACGACAATTAAAAATATTGGAATTTCGACTATATATATGAATTAAGAATTTTAAATTTAAATTATCTTCAAATGATTTGCAAAGTGAAATGATTGGTGGAAATTGCTTTGCTCACATCAATTAATACTATCGAAAATTTGCACAACAAAAATCCTTCAATGATATAAGACCCACTAATTAAATTAGATAAAAAGTGAATACTCGAAAAAAAACCTTGAAGCAATTCTGTAAAGAAGTAGATTTACACTTTGAGTGACACATCAATCGATTGAACATTTCAAGCCAAAGAAATGCGGTTGACATGAATTCATCGAAAGAATAGAATAGCGTGTGTGCATTAGCAAATTTATAAATATATATAGTGCTGTGCAAATTTTGTAATACAGTTTATGTATATTTATAAATTATATGTAAAAAATTTAATTTTGCTTCATGTTTGATGCCATTCGACATTGAACCCAATTCCGACTGAATAAAAAAAAAATCCCAGTCAAACGCTCATTTTTGTTAAAGAAAACGTTATCAAAATTGAAAAACTAAAATACCCATTCAATGGAAAATTGATATTCAACAACTTTAGTAACAAAACAGTAAAACTTTGCGCATAATATATTTTAACGGTTTGCAGTGTTAGTGTCATCACTCGTAATAGTATCCATATTTTCTGCGTTCACAATTGTAATCACCCAACCGTTACACTAGATTGTAATTATGTATCGAGTTATTTTATTCACTACCGTTGTTTTAATGACAATTCTAGGTTAGTAAATGTTGCAACATTTTTTTCTCTTCTCTTTTTTTTGTATCTTTATTCATTTAAGTTCAAGCTTCGCATGTTTGTTGTGAGAGTAACAAAAAACATGTTAGAGAACGCTGAATTTTTCATTCAGCCAATCGAAATTATACTTTGTATTCGATAAATTTTCACTATTTCTTCGGCCCTATGCTTCAAAGTTTGAAGATCAAAATGTTCAGTGGTGTCGTTTTTAATTATAAATAACTAGTACTTTGAGTTGTAAACTTTGGAATGAAGATGCTAGACATTTAAATGTCATTATAGCTCACAAATTAGATGCAGGAAATATATCATAATATTACTAGTATGATATTTGTGATTTTATTACAAATTGACATTACAAACCTACCATTGGGTTTTTCATCAAGTTCTGAAGATAATAATAATCTTTTATTTGAACTTAATTTCGAGGTTTCGATAATTTTTTGCTTTGATCAGTGATACTTTCTGAAAAAAAAAATGTATAGCATATTTGGCATGTTGAAATTGAGAGTTATCAAATTTATGCACGTGATGGTTTGTTTGCTAATGAGTTGAAATCAGAAATGAAAGTCTTCGTTTTCACAACGCATCGAAAAATTATAAAATCATTCATATGCTATTTGCGATAAGAGTGGCAAATAAACTGTTGTGAATTGGACACAACAAGTGGGGAGAAAACAAAAGATTCAAAGTTCACACATAAAATGGCTAATCTAAATGAATTTCGAGTGCAAGAGATCATTCACGTCTTCACTGTTTACTTATTGTGCGACTCAATTCACGCAAACATGAAAAAATACTACGAAATAAAAAAACAACAACCATCAAAATCAAATTTCTGTAATATTGACAAATTTATTGCTGTCGCTTTGATATGAGAGGTTTTTTTTAAATTTAATCAGAGCTCTTCCCAAAAAAGCTATTTATATACAAACAGAGAAAACAACATTCTAGTTTCAATCACGTTAAAAACAAGTCGCTATCAGTTCTGATTGAATGTTTTAAATGCATTAAATAATCCAGTTAACATTTCTATCCCAACTTTATTTTCGTTGGGTCTTGTTTGAGTTTCGAGTTCAGATGTCGAATTCTGATAAGAAAAAGTGCATTAGTCTCAGTTGAGCGTCTTGCTCATCATTTATACATATGGAAAGTTTCTCCTATATGTATCATGAATTACTCATCGCATGTTATCTCCGCGCAACATTTTTAATGAATAATATTAGTGACTAAGACTTTTTTCTTATAAAACCAACAGAATCTGAATCAGTGCATGCAGATATTATCATGTTATTCATTCATATTATCGTAAAAATTAGTTTAAATTACGCAATTAATGTGTACTTTTTGTGCTCCATGATGAAATGATGAACTTATAAAATGAATTTCGAAAGTATCGAATTAACCTAGTTGAAGCGGTCAAACTATATGGCTTTGAAATCAAATAAGAGTGTAGTTGAGGAGGTGATAAACAGTCAACCTTTTATCGAATGTATTTCGACGATATGCCATAATTCGCATAAAATTTGCCAATTTTTTGTTTGTTCGAAATGTTTATTAAATCAGATTTGATGAAGTGGATTATATGGCGACAGTAGAATTTAAAAAAAATACTCGATATAAAAATTATTTATACGTATCTGTACGTAATAGCCGACAAAAATAATCTTGTTTGTTTTTTATTTAATTTAAATGTTTACTGTTTATTCCAAAGTTTCAAAATGAAATCAACTTGATATTACTGTTTTGACATTATATTATCAAAAAATATTAATTTCGGCGACATTTTACAATTGACTGCACTTCGGGCAAGATAAAAGCGGGTATGAAATATAAAACAAGATCGTTTCATATAAAGTGAACGCTACACACAACAAAGATAATCACAATATGACTTGTTGCACAAAACTCGACAAAACTAAAAATTATCAATTTTATACTGATAAGTGATAATACGCCGATTGAAGGGACTGAAATTCTTTGCTGCCAACACGTGCTTATATTTTTGTTTGAATGCTATATAAACAATTGTAACAATATATAATCGTATCGACGATGCAATAAATAAATAACGTAGAACGTGACGAAATACTCGCACTGCACCTCACAAAAGTGAAATGAAATGACGTTTATTGCATGAATAATATAATGCTATAATAAAATAAATGGAAATGCGTATGTGCAAATGCTATAATAAGTGAATCGACCTCTAAAATATATCTTTTGAGATTTAGATACGAACTAGTTCCCATGTATCTTCTTTTCTTATATATAATAGTATAACAGTATGAGTAATTTATGGCGCCGCGCGTCAATACGCAAAATCTCAATAGTAAGCGATTTATTTGTATTTGTTTTTACGAAAAGAAACAATTGATCGTTTTTAATGAAGAAATCATTGTGTATGGACGAAGAATCTAGTGTATATCAAAGAAGATGTATTTTATAAATTAAATGTTTGATCCAAATTTAAGATCATCCAAAGAACAATGCCAAAAAGTGAGCCAGCTGTCATTGCTTGCAAATTTGTCAAACCCTGCGGCTATCATAACAAAACAACGTACGTTTAATTCACGATGGAAGGATTCACCCGAAAAATCAAATGATATAAATATAAAAATTATTTTATTTTATTTTTATTATTCCAATTATTTTGAATGATTAATACTTTTTTTTTGTATTATCATCGTTTTTAATATTTCCATTTCAATTTATTTAATTCTTATTTACGATCATGCATGCGATGCAAATGTGCCGTTTGAGAGTTAAACGTACTCTGCTCAGTTATGACAAATGTAGGGTTAAACAAACTCTCAGTCAAAAACTGCTGGCTCACTCGCTATATGAAAAATTGACATGGTTCTTTAAAAACAAGTACAAATCAAAGAAATCGCTGAAATTACGAAGTAATGAAAAGAAAAAAACGTATTGTACTCGTAAGTCAAAGAAAAATATAATTTGCACAGTTTTAAAGAAAGCAAAAAAAATCGGAACAAGTTCAAAAAACTATTAATGATGTTGCCAAAATGTGTTTGCTATGAGTTTTATGATAAATTTGAAGAGTGTTGTTGATTAATTTACACAAAATATAGGCGTATAGTTTCTCATTTCTGTTAAAATGAAAGTAAATAAACAACAATCTGACCGCTTTTTGCCCTCATTTAGTTTATGCGTATGCGCTATGAAGTGTATTTGTTCGCCATACAGAATTGTATACAGCTTTAACTGAGTGTTTGTTATTTGATTTGGAATTTGCAGAGCGGATAGTAAATTTCCGGTTCTTCGTCATCAAAATCACGACTTGACTTGGAATGATTATAATTGCCGCTTCATGCTATTCGAATAATCAAAATTCAAGGATATAATGAGGAAGTCCAATCAAAAAATGCCTGCTCTTAAAGAAAGTGAAACAGGAGTTGTATAAGATATTCAAAAGTTGATTTCCTTCAAAAAGTTGCGGAAGAACTTTATACATTTGGAAAGAAATAAAATTAACATGAACTCAAACATCGCAAAGCAATAAAATTTACTACAAAATTACAGTTTTAATTCAATCCTATACGAATATAAGTATTCAGGCCCAATGGACTGGAAATGAGATACGAAAAATAACTGATACAATGGTTTCTTTTTTACTGTAACAACTATATTGTTTTGGACTCCACATAGGCTCATTATAAGGTTTCGTGATTTTATTGCACTCTCGTCAGTACAGAGAAAGATTTGTAAAGAAGAAAATGACTGATGTTATTATTGAAGAACATACAAATGCTGTTCACAAGTAACTGATTAAAACTCAAGTCACTTTGACTTATCATCTATTTTTACTGAGTATGTATTGTATAAATGAAGATAAATTATAGTAGATGAGATTCGACGACCGCCACAATAAAGTGTGTATATAAAGAACATAAATATATACCTTTGTTTACCGCAAATAAATATTTTCCTATTGAACAAGAATTGTTGTTTTGGCAAATATCCAAATAATAAACTAAATGAATTTTCCATTAAAGCGCTTCCAATTGCTTTGCTTTGCAAATGTTAGTGTGAAAATTACAAATTTTGTTCCAGAACAGAAGTCATTTCTTTGAAATCGTTGCATATGCATGAAGTCATCAGCTAAGTAAAAATAGCTTGTTCAAGTTTAATGATCCCATTGCTAAGTGAAAACTGTTCACATACATAGTACTCTTTTTTTGTTTAAAAACAAAATCTATTACTTTGAGCACTTTCCAAGAGAAAACTGTTTTTTTTTCTCCTCAATTTGCAATTATAAAATCATTTTCGTAGCTTTCGTACTAAATGAATCAGCAAAACCTTAACATTTTCATCTACGTCAACGTCCATATGTTATGGCAATGAATACACGCAATACATCGATAAAAATGTGTAGTTCACCGTACGTAAGACGAGTCAACTGTGAATATACAAAAGTTATATTCATAGCGATGACCGTTAATATTCATACCGTTTTTGTTTTTACATTTACAGTTGTCTTTTTAGCATCAAAATAAACATAATAAATTGGCTGCACCTCCACGGATGTATCATAAAATGTTTCGATGAACTCTGTTTACACGCAAATAATACACATGTAACAGATAACATTTTAATAGTGAAATTGGAGTTGCTAAATGAAATTTCTTTTATTTGGTGCAAACGCGTGAATTAATCCATTAAATGGATATGACAAATCAATATCCACCCTGTTATTCTCAAAGAACTTATCAAACATTGAGTTTTATGACAACAATACACACCTAATTTAATCATTCAATTGATACCGATTCAAACTGGATCTATTTACGACTTGTTAATGATAAAAAGCATTATTGGTGCTCTTCAGTAAACAAATATAGGTCAAGTGTAAACGCTGAAAACTCCCATATTGGATTTATGTATGACGGTGTAATATTCAAATATTGTATTTCCTTACTATTTCATTACAAACATATGTATATGTATATTGTACAATTTGAATTGATTTGTACGCATCTAGCGACGATTTTTTTCTATTAAAGAAATACAGTTGAATGCATTATTTAAAGGTTTTCCTATTGGCAATTTATTTCCTGAAACAATTGATTTTATTTTACTTCAAAGTGAGTAATTAATTGAAGATGGTGAAATTTATGGCAAACGCTTATTTATTTGTGGCAATAAATCATTGATTCGAAACGAAGAACTTTACAAACTAAGCAGTTTAATTAATTGTTGGTTTTAAAGAATGGCAAGAATCAACATTCCAAAAACGCACTCAATACGAACCATTATTGAAACAATTGTGCAAAACAATAATAACGTGGTAAACGTGAATATGCAATTATGAATTACATTTCCATACATGGAAACGTTAAACAATTGCCGCTATTATATACTATTTCGAAGCTCCAGAGGAAAATATTCATAGATTGAACTAAGTTAATAATAATCGTTCAATTAAGAATATAATTCTTGGGTTATTTATTCGAATGAATAGATTGGGTTTCAATTTATGGCCGACATATACACATTGTGTACTACACACCAATTGTTTGTATGCTAATAATGGTTAAGTGCCACGGTGCAATGTTTTCTGACCGTAATTTTTTTTAATTAAATTTTGAATCAAAAATTTTCCAAATTGAATTACAATTTTCTGCAAATTAAATACTCTGCTGAACACAATTGTTTGTTTTATGTTTTCTAATGAATATTTTTCTTATGTTTTCAATTAACTAGATGTCACAGAGGCAATAAAGTGCTATCGGTGTACAGTGACATCGAGCCCTCGGGAAAACCGAACAGAACAATTATGCGCAAAATTTAGCGAGAGTGATGAATTCACTGTGGATTGTCCGTATTCAACAATGTGCATGAAAAAAATCTTCCGCTTACAATTAGAAAATGGAACTAACGTAGAAACAGTCAACCGCAACTGTGCAGATCAAAAGAAAACCGATCAGGTGAGTAAGAATTTTAAGAAAAATTGAATTGTATCATTCTAATTAATCTTTATACACTTCTTTGTGCATTAAATTGTCACTTTCAGGTTTTCAAACAGGGAACATGGCAAAATGAAATCACAATTGAAGAACCATACGCTGAAGGATGTATGAATCAAACTAGTGATACCGTTTATTGCTATTGTAGAGGTTCAATGTGCAATACAGCGCCAAAAGATAGCCCCAGCTATCACACAGATGCCATGGCCGTGATTTTTGTATTCAACGCCATGAAATATTTACGAAGCATCGACTGATGGCCAACTAAAACTATTTCCATTCCAACCGAGCTTAGTTTTCTTTTTCTATTACATTGTTGCAAAATGAGCTCAATTTACTTATAGGTTTGCAAATATTCGACAATCATACGGCGTTCAAAATTAAAATATGCATCACATAAAACGCTTCTAATGAAACTCTAAACCAAAAACGTGTTTAATAACTTTTGACAAGCATTTACATTTAAACACTATAAAATACAAATAGCACACCCAGTCTTATGTTTGAATGTAAAAATGCGAATATATCAAAGCGCTATATAGCGGAAATAGATTCATTAAACATAAGCAAATAATATTACTTTTAGACAAATTCAATATGTTTAAATTATTTTTTTCATTTTATCCTTTAGAGAAAAAAAAACGTGAAATGAAAAATATTGTGATACTATTTTGAGTAAATTAAGTGTTGGCTAAGATACTTTTTGTAAAATGAATATGTTAGCAAACATTGTTTATGAATACATTGAATACAAGTAAAGAGAAATTTTGACAAATTTGTAGCCTTATATTTTGTTGTTTTAGTCTTTTTTCATATCCCGACACTTATCACCAGAGATAAAATGGTTTGTTCCGGTGGGCGCTGCTGAAGCACTATTTGTATGGAAATATTTGTTGAAATTTCAACCTATTAAAAACAATGAAGATTTTCGTTACTACTGCTGTGTTGACACAGCTCTAGCGAACTATATAGCTGTATTGCAAAGGTATTAGTACTGAGACTCCGATTCTGTGTATGCGTGTGTGTTGTAAATTTTGCACAAGCAACTACGATGACACAGCTCTAGCGAACTACAATATATAGCTGTATTACAAACTAATACTAACCAAGAAACACACTGACTTCGATTCTGTTTATGCGAATGTGTTATACATTTTGCACAAGCAGCTACGGTTGACAACTGAGTGCAGAATTTTCAATACAAATGGACACACAAAATCAGAGTCAGTGTGTTCTTTACATGGGGCGAATCACGCTAGTGAATACTAGAAAAACTAGTAAATCTAGTGCGAAGAATGATGTCACAAACGAAGCCAACTTCACACCAAAGGCCATACATATGAAAAACTACTTAGAGCCAACTTCACGCACTTGAATTTTCTAGTTTTCCAGTGAAATCTTATCAAAAACTAGATGCACTAGAATTTCGTGATTGACCCCATGGTTCTTTAGTAACAAAAATCTTTATGTCTTTTAATAGATGTCGTAATCGTTGAATCTTCACCAAAAAATCTTCGATACCAGCACCCACCGGTTTGTCCTTTAATTTTCTTGGTTTTATATAATTCATACAAATTTTGCTGTTCAAAGGTGGAATATAAGCTTATGGACATGTCATAATTATGAAAACATTTGGAACACCCATAATTTTTTTTATATCGTTATGGTGTGTAGAATATCTACCAAAAATTATGAAACACCCTAAAGCTTTTGTCATTCAACTATACTGATTTTCCAAATGGCTTCATTATCCGCGATTACGTCATTTTGCGATAATAATTTAATTCAATACGTTTATACTACATGTGTACTAACATAGCACCAAAAATCCAGGTCTGGTGTCATATTTCATAAAAAAAAAGTTAATGAGATATAATATGTTAAATTTCTTACCGAATGATCATTTTCAACTAAGCACAAGAAAACTACGTCTTCACGCATAAGTCGAACTGCTACATGCAATGGATTATCACCTAAAAAAAGAACGAACGCAAATTAATTTTTCCCATGAATGCATTCAATTTACTGAATTCATAAACTGTTTTAAAAAAGTTTTGATAATATCGACACAAATTTTAATTTAACTGTTTCTATTTAACATTTCATTGTATCTAACCATAAGTTGTGCTATGGGTATATTGTTGATGATTAATTATTGTTCCACGAAGGACCTTATTATGTCTACCTACTTTTCTCTTTTAACATGGACAACAGCAATGGACTGGACATCGACTCAAAATCCTGTGACATAAGTTCATTCCAGTGCAATGAAATCAGGCCGGAACAATATTCAAGTAGACTCGATGCACCAACTTCTTCGGCAACACAATAGAATCGAACGCATGATCGAACGCCCACAGATGAAATCAGTGCTCTTTCACAAATTCCTAAGAGCGGGGCTAATCCAAATTTAAAGGCGGCACTAAATTGGGAAATACAACAGCAACAGAGTGAGAATGTGTATGCGAATGACTGTCATTCATTATTAATAATAAAAATAATAAATATGTGCTAATAATAATTATGCTTATAAAAATAACTACCGTAATAAGCCTAAAGCTAATCTATCATTTTGAAGGTCTATAACATCCGTATACATCCAACGTAAAAGTTCGTATCCAACGTCATTTTCAAGATCCCTCCAATCTGTATTTAATTTCATAATAAAATATTTGAATGAAAAGTTTAAAAGCAAATAAATCAAATCATACCCAATTCATTAATATCAGCCAACACCTCTTCACTGAATTCTTCAGAACGTGCGTTCAAAACGAATTTGTGTGCGGGTATTACTTTATTATCGTCCAAACGAATCGTTATATCCGAATATGTTTTTCGTCCGTAAAGTGTGGCCACTGTCATTGCCAAACGAGATACAAAACTACTAAGCCCCATATCTTTATCACCAATTGTAGCCGCTGCTTTGTTATATTTTCGTTCGAGTTCGGCATAATTTCGTTGTAATTTTGTATATTCTTCTTTTAACAATTTTAGATGATTCTCAAGTTTTTCCGAGTTATCGCTTGCAGCTATAAATGGTATATTTCTCATTTAAATAAGGATGAAATTGACAGTTTAAAAAACAATACAAAAATTAATTGGCTAAATTAATAATGCAACTCAATTGAGAGTGTGACGCCCCATTTCTTACGAAAAAGTATTTACTTTCGAGTGTTAATATCAAACTTCATACACTTACCCATTTTAAAACGCACTTCGAATTGATACTAAATTGTCTACACACAAATCATACAAATCAAACAATTTCACACTCCAATACCGTTGGCGATCATACACAAAAATGTTAAAATCGACGAAGTGATTGCACACTTTTTTTGAAAATATTGACATCAAATTACTAACCAATAGTCTCCAAAAACAATATATATCTATCTATATGACAATAGAAATTCCAATTTTTTTCTGTTTTGTTTTTGACTCTTCGTCTCAGCCCAAGTATTGTTTTTTTTTCTATTTCTTTTGCGTGAGTTATCACTTGATGTTGTTAAATCTTCTTGTAATTGTCAAAGTATGATGTGTCAGTTAAGTTTAAATTCTATTGGGTACGGCAGATAGCGCTGCTACCATTGAGAAGAAAGAAATATCAATTTCAAAAATAAAAAAAACGTCGTAAATGCAGACGGTCTAAAAAATTTAAATACAAAAAAATAGTGACAAAATAGTTTATTGTGATCTTTACTGAAACATTCATAGTATTTTGAATATTATAAAAATTTCAAATGATAAAAAAACTGATGTTGAATAAACAATAACATTGTTGATATATTCTGATGAAAAAAATTACTGATTAAAATTAAAAATTTGATTAAAATGCTTAAAAATAAAGTAAACTAATTTGATTTTACTTCAACAATTCATTTTTTTTTTGTTGCACTCAAGTTCTTAATCTCATTTTCTAAAATGTTTTTGATCCAATCACTAATATAGGTATCTTCAATGAACTTATATTTTACGACTTATATTTTACGACTATTCATTTCTAAAAATAATTTCAACCACTCTTTAACACTATAGTCATTGAGATTTTGATCAATTTTCGGACAGTTAATTAGGTGATTCAATGTTTGTGAAATTGAATTACACTCAATTGTAACGCAGCAAAATGGTGAAAAATGAGAACCATTCAGATCAATTTGAAATTTGTCAAGTAATCGATTACTTATTCGTTCAATAGCTCCGGCTGAATGTTCCTTATCATAATGAATAATAAGATTATCCAATTTAGTAATATGAACATTACATATGCCACAAAGTTCTCGATTAGTTGGACATACTAAAGCCAAAACTTTATTTGGATTAATCCATCGCATGTACTCACAATTTTGCATTCTGCACATGCAAAAAGACGCCTTAAAATGTATGCACTCGATTTCATATTATGGACCTGTTCATAATGTAATTTAACTTCTTCAATAGACACAAAAAGAACTTGTTTAGAAATGTTCTCAATTGAACATTGATGACATTCATAGACGAACATTCGGTCGAATTTTTTATTCTCTTCAGTCAAATGGTCCGCATTCCAATTAAACCATGATGTTTTGTAAATCATTTTCATGAAACTAAATTCAACATATGATTGCGATGATGACGTTTGATTGCGATGATGAGCAATTATTCGACTCTTCGAATTTGCATACATATTGTCTTTCACGTAAACATAAACTTCGCTATATTGAAATTGATTTGAAATAACTTGTTCCGACTTTACGAGATCTTGACCATCGAGAGACTGAACGATTTTAATGTTTTGTATAAGCTTTGCATCAATGAGGCACTTTGAATGTAAATTTTTGAAATGATAATTCATCTCTTTTGTAGTTTCGCATCGTTTGTAACAAATCTTGCATTCAAATTGACACGTGACAAATTTCACTATTTTACCTGTTTTGGCTGAAATTTGTTCGAGAATTTTGTAATGGATTGCTGCTTTTGAATGTTTTTTATGCATGTGTTTCATGAAATTCTCTTCTTTTCTTGTCCGGAAATTGCATTCAACTTCAATAGACTCATATAGAAAATATTCTTCGTATGTGACAAAGAAATTGGAAGTTCCACTAAAATTTAGTTTCAATTCAGGTAATTTTCCTGTGAATTGCACTATTTCAGTTGAAAGTGAATTTTGTTGACTCGCATGATCTTTATAAGCCAATAAAGATGGATCCATACAACTTAAGTCAATCTCATTTGGTAATTTGAAGAATTTATATGATCTATGATCGAGTGTACTACCAATGTACAAAAGTGTAAAATTCAATGAGCTTTCTCTTGATTTTAATTTATCGCCTGAACATCGGCATGCGATAAAAGAAAATTTTGATGGATGTTGCATTGAAAGGTGTTTTCTCATTGCGTGGATGTCATTATTATTATAACTAGACGATTTGCAATAAATGCAATGTAACTCTCGAAAATTGTGTATATTCAAATGTGATTGGATTTGTTCAAACGGCACATTTTCATTACAAATTTTACATTGAAATTCCAAAATATTTGGATGTTCAATATCAAAATGTTGATAGAGATCATCAAATGTGGCATACTCCTCTGAACAGTTGTCTGTGAATTGACCACATTTGATTGTTTCAATATTATATTTAGAGTCTGTTAATAACATTTCTTTGTCATCATCTCTGAACTCACGTGATTCGCTGCAAATGTAAACCTCACGTTGTTCTGATGAATGATAAGATTCATCATGAATCAATATGTTATCAACTTCAACTGTACGATAAAAGCAAAACTTGCATTGGTAAATGCTCTCACTAAGATCAGACACAATATGTTCTAATAATTCGTGATTTGAACTTGCTTCCAAATTGCAGTAGCAACAATCACGGAATTTTATTTGTTCTTCACGAACTTTTATATCCAACAAACTAGCACAACGTAAAATATCAATTAATGTAAGATGTAATTTCATGTGTTCCGCCATATCATCTTGACAGCCTGTTGAAAATAGGCATTGAGAATGCATACATTTGAATAATGCGAATTGTGAAATTGGCCCAAGTAGACCATTATCGTTGCCTGGTTTCGTCCAATAATCGTCAATCCACTCTTTCACTTTAAATTTGTGGATCATAGTTTGCAAAAAATGTGGAATAATGGTCGATAGTTTTTCTCTTTCTGCCGGATCATCTTTTATGGCTTTGTCAAATCTCCAATATTTAATTTCTGAACTATTTTGAGAAGGATGACCATTATTGACCATATTCATTGCGTTAGCTCCTTGTAAACACCAACCTCGAAAGTTATTTTTGTCTGTAATTTTGAAAAAAAAGAAAGAAATTTTTACTTTTTGACTGTGAAGAAAATAACACTAGATCGTTTGTATAAGTTTAGAACTATTTTTTTCTCAATGCATTCATATATTTTACCTTCAATTGGTCGCGCTTGACATGATAACGTTTTCAATGCCAAATAGGAATTCAATGAAACTTCACATGAATGTTTCAGTTGATTCTTTATTGATAAGAGCGTAATAGCTTTGTATTTACTTTCTAAAACATCTTCGTTATATTCATGTTGAATTTCCAAATGCTTCTTCATGTTTTCTTTATCGATTTGAACAAAATTACAATCCAAACATAGATGTGCATTTAAATCTTCCTCATCCAATCGGAACTCATCAATTCGAGCTGTCTTCATATCACAATGTACGGTTGAGCATGCAAAAAGCATACTACAAACACGACATTTATTTCGGTATTCTCCAGTATGTGAATGTAAATGATTCGGCCAATAGTATATTGAAAATTGTTTCTCCTCTTCACAAAAGAAACATTTTGCTTTCACCAATTTTTTGTGGCCCTTTTTTAAAATAGCAATTTTTGAATGTGGTCGTTGACTTTGAATTTCTGCGGCCATACGTGCTGAAAGTCGTGAAGCGACTATTTCCTCATCACTGTGACACATTTTGTAATGAATGACAATCTTTGCATACCTTTTATTGCAAATCTTACAATATTTTGTATCTGGATTGTTGAAATGCAACGTTTTATCTATATTTTTAAACTTTTTGGCTTGCTTTTCAATCGTTTGTGAGATCACACTACAATCAGTTCTGCTTGTAATGGATTTTAACGTTTGTTGTTCTTTTGGGTGTATCTCATCAGCTGTTTTGGTGTTCTTTCCAAGAGACTTTAAAGCCAGTCTACAATCAATAGTGTTTCGTCTGTATAGAGTTTGTTTTGATATTAACTCCTCTTTTGAATGTGTTCTGTTGCTTAAGGACTTTCGTTGTTCATCATTTTTTTAGATTCTTTTTCGATGGTTTTTGAATCAATAGTCTTTCGTCTACATTGAATATGCTTTAGTGTTGTTTGTTCTTTTGAGTGTAGTTTATCATTATGTTCGCGATTTGTTTTGGAGTCCAGGCTATGGTCATGTTTCTTCTGCCTAAATGATGTTCGATTTTTTCCATTTAAATTTTGTAATGAGTCACTCATTGTTTTGGCTTTCTTTGCTGAATGACTATCCTTTCCTCTTTTGCTTGAATGACCTTCACTCGAAACACTTCGAGGCCTCTTTTGAATAGTTTTATGCATGGCTGTTGTTTGATTACTTCCTCCTTCTACTTTATTGCAAATTGCTGGTTTTCGCCGTGCAGATCGTAGCTCATTCAGAATCTTTTTCATTGTATTTTCCAATTTTTTTTGATTTTCCAATAATTTTGTTTGGTCCTTTGCTAATTGGCAGAAATGTTTTGATCTCATAAGCATTTTGTCAAAAGTTTCAACAGACATTTCTCGAAAACTTTGCTGCGTATTAGCTTTTGTTGAACAAACTTCGTTTTGTTTTTGAAGCGTTGATATTTTTTTTGAACGAATATTGATAGATTGTTCACCTTCATTTAAGTTTTGTAGAACTCTCTTATTTTCAATCATTCCCCGTTTGGAGTTCATGAAGTCAAAATCCTTCACCCTACACAATTTTTGGGGCACTTCTTTTGGATTATTTGCTGAATGCATGGAAGTGATGCTTTCGTATGATGTTTTCCTAATTTCCACTTTACTTGATTGTTGAGTAATTGTCGATGAATAATTACAAATTGATTGATCGTTATTTGCATCAGTATTTGTTTCATTCAGAGGGTTGCCACTTTTGGTTCTTCCATTCTCTACGGACAATTCCATTTTTGTAGATTTCTCGAAAGAATGCATTGTAGTATCACTATGATATTGACTTTTTCGTCGGTATTTTTCTTTGAACCTAATAGTTCCGGAATTTTCACCAAATGATGCCATATTGAAAAAAAAATTTCTTTATGTTCTGCAAAGAAACCTCACTTTCTTAGAAGCCACAAGAGAACTGTCCAAAATCTTAATGATGCTTCATTTAAAGAGGTCGAACTTGAACGTATTGGTAAGTGAGTGAACGCTACAGTGTAACCAATTGTTTAAAATATTCAAATCGTTTTCAAAGTACGTAAAATATACTTGGGTGTCAGATTTTTACTTTTTATGTTTCGAAGAAACAAACGACATTTTGCCGTTTAATGTATAATTTATTTTCAAAACCTTCTAGTGTGCTTGAAATTTAACAATTTTAATATTTCTATGTACTTCAATAAAAACATATTTATCACGAAATTACGAAAATATTATGTTATATATTTTGTGAGTTAATAAAAATACTTAAATGTGTGGAAATTTGAAATGGAATGGAATTGGAAAGGGTCAAAGGTCACGTACTCTTGTAGCCTGAGTTTTTTTTTCCGAAAAATTACAAACAAAAATATGTTCTATTTTTATGTATGATCTTTTTGTTTGAAGTACGAATGATAAATGATGTTACAATATCAATGATAATTTTATCTCTATGTAAAAAAAATTATGTTGTTCTTTTATTTTAATCGGGATTTGAGCTCTTATGATACTCTTTGACTAAGCAACGATTGTAATCGTTAACTATTTCAATCGTTGGTCCACATCAAAGCGCGACGTTGACAGTAGCGCCATGGTGTGATTGCCAGCAAAACTAAAAAATTGCACATATTTCGATCGCCTGGATCAAAAATGGTACAAATTTGTGCCACCCAACATAAACAGTGGCAACCATAATGAAGTTGCTGCATTGCCCAGCTGTCATTGTCGTCGTGCTTTGGTCCACATCTTTAACGATTGTAGTCAATGTTAATTTCAATATACAATCGCGAACGATTGACTGTTTTGTGTTTTCTAAGGTGACCAATTTGAAAAAAAATCGTCGATGATCGCAATCATCGCGTAGAAAAACACATATACGCTCTCGAACATTCTTCGTTTTTTCAATCCACTATTATACACACTCACTCAATTCTAAAAACCTATGATGTTTATGCGCCCTCTCTCGAGTCATATTTGCGAAGAAATGTGGCAGGATTCGTTTTTTCAAGTTTGTGGATTCAAATAATCACCATAAAAACGTGTGAATCTTATTTTCTCACCAAAATAATTAGGGATTTTTGGCCCTAAAACGAAAATGTTGTATGGGAGGTAACCCCGAATTTTTCGGAATTTCTTCAAACTTTCAGAATGTTTTTTTTTTTCTTCAGAATGTCAGATATACAGAATGAATGTGTGTTTTGTTGACGTTTATGCGAAACGTTAATGCTTCCGCCTCGTGGTGATAATGAATAGCGAGACATCAACGAAAGATCAAGAATGAACGTGATCGAGCAGTTAACAAACCATTTTTCGATACTTACGTCATAAAATACATGAAAATGTTTCAACAATAGATTTCAATAAAACAACCACATGAAAATTCGTGACTGATAACGTTTAATTTATGTTTAATCTTTATGTTCAAAATCATGTATTTTAACTTCTAAAATGAGCAATAATTAAGAAAAATTTTTTTACTTCAAAATAAAACTTAAGGAATAGGAGAACTGTTGTTCGAGAAACTATCCGAATATTATACACTTATTGAAAAATTATATTATTTCACTGGATATCTGAAGCACACTACTTTTTTATATCAGCAGCTTAAGGCATCAAGTTTTTAAACTTTAAAAAAATCTTTTTATTACAAAATAAATTGCACAAAAGTTTACAATCCACGAATTTTGTAAGAAAAAAACTCTGCTTGAATAAATGGAACGAACTCATTACTTGGAGAACAAATTAATGCTCTATAAGGTGATAAATTTTTATTATACCATCATGAATGAGACACGAAAAAGTCAAACTGATTGGCAAGGTGATATTGACACAGTATTAAGACAACATTTAAAACATTGGTTTGGCAATCGGCTTCTAACTGGATCGAACCAGACTATTGTTTTTGAGTTGCGTGTCTGTACAATACTTATCGTATGTCAATTTCAGAGTGGCGTAATGTTGATAGAAGACATGAGTTTGTGTGTTGTAATTAAAGTAGAATCAGCCAAAATGCACTTGAAATATTGGAATAAAATCAAAGTATGCACAAATCATTACAAAAAACCTATAAATTAGAAAAAAAATACTTTTCAACGTGTTTGAGATTGTGTCATTATTTAAATTGTGTCTGAGGTGAAAAATCTCAGTTCAGTGATTGGTGAAATTGTCACATGGTTTTTTTTGACTTTTTCTTGCTCAACCTCAATTTTTATGGCCTTGACAATTATATGAAAATATTGGGAAAATATTCCATCGAAAAGTTTTTAAAAAAATTTACACAATTTCCTTGCAAGAGATGTATTGCAAACCAATGGTGTATACGGAATGGTATCTTTATACAAATATAACGCAATATTGAGGGTAGAAAAAAGCGGTTTTAATTGAATATAACGAGAAATCTATCAGATTGGCATTGATGATTTCGTTCGCAAGGCGAAATGTATTACTTAATTGAATTGGAAAATAGATCACTGCATCGAAAAATTTATTACCGAAATTGAAGAATTGCTGCGATATTATCCAAGTCACATGTGCGTTTGAACAATTTATTACTAATTCTGAATTAAACCGGCCAAGACTCGATGCGATTCTTCTGAATCAATTTTGATTAGCTGAAGCTAATTTTTTTTACTCACCAAAAAGAAATAAAAATAATTGTTTCCAATTTCGTTAAGTTAACACGCTGTCCCACCGCATACCGATGATTTTTTGTGAAATAGATATCTGAATATGTCTACCAGTTTCTTATTTTTCAGTATCATTTTTTATGATGCAAAATTCAGCGTGCAATGTGGAACAGGTTTTTTTACCCAATCGATTACTAATACGTGACAATGTAGACATATTGTCTACCGCATAGTCAACATTATTTATCCAAACAAATAACTTATACTAAACTACAACTATAGCAGGTGTTGTATCACATTTGTTAAACATGGATAGTAGTCTGCTTTAATATGTAGATTTGCACAAAAGATGATATTCTAAATAGAAAATATTAAAATAGAGTTTTATTCCAAGATCAAAACCAGAATCAGTTGGAATAAATACATATGAATTCTGTTTCATAAATTAAAATTCAAATTCGCATTCATTTATCACACACTTACACACACACACAAACTATAATTTTTTTTAATTGATAAAAGAGAAAGATTCAGTAATTTTGAACTTCAAATGCAAAAACGGCGAATATATTGGTTGTAGTTGTTCATTCAAAAAATCACTGCCCTTTATTTCTATACACTTCTTCGATAAACCTTTCGAAAATAGTTCCAATGAAAATGTGAAATATATAAGCATTTTTATCATTGAAATCATTATCAATATCAGTAATGTCAATCAAATTAATGAACACACACTTCGCAATCGTCTATTTGCGCACAAACGCCTTCAATAATACTTCTAAACTTCGACTGTGACAATTCAATTAAGGAGTTGTGAATAAACCACAAATTGTTATGGAATCGTATTGTACGCACTCCATTTACAATCAATTAACTTGATTTGTTCGATTTTGTATGTGTTTTGTTTACATACGCTTCTTGCATATCTTCTGTTCTTCTTCTTTTACATTATACATTTATTCGTTAATTCTTTCCCCTATATTTTGACTCGATTTATTTGTTCATACACGCTTCTAAGTCTAGTGTGATCATATGTGTGTGTATAGATCGTAAGCACCGAACGAAATACCGAAAACTCACCGAAATCTTTTATTTGTTTGCAAAAAAATACACCACGTTGCGATGTATGTGAAAACAGAACGACGTTATCGTATGTGCTTTTCGATTTCAACGATTTATAGACGCCGACAACAACAAAAAAAAAGAACATAAAATTGTGTAGAACTGCTCTCGTATAAAATAGTTTCCGTTCAACGTTTTGTTGCTCATTACCTGTCGATCATTTAATACAAATGTGTCGCTGAAAAAAGAGAGCGCGCAAGTTCAACATTTTTTTCTATTCGAACAGGTTCTCTTTTTTCAACTTATCGATAATTTTCTCAAGTGATTGAAATTCAGTTTATTTTCATTATACGGTTCATTTCTAGGTTTGTGTTTTTGAAATTAATCTGTTTACTTTATCGTGCAGTTTTGATGTATTTTTATATTCAACTGAAATATTTCATTTGATCGTGAAAAAAAAATTGACGTACGTATACTTCCTGGATGCGAGATGCATTTTTTTCGTTTTCAATCCTGCCTGTTTGTTGTGTGTTGTTTTGCTGAGCATGAGTACAAACCGTCCATTAAGTGTAGGAGATTATTTCCGTTGCAAAACGTTCTCGCATGCGAAAATGGCGGAGAGAATTTTCCAATTTTTTTCTGTTCTTTCTCCACCAAGTATTTGTACCATGCACATCTTGTTTGAAATTTACTCTGTGTGCAAAATATACGTTTAGTCGTTCGATAGCTTTGGTCGGATATGGTTTCACAGAAAAATTTATTTAAATTGTCTGTGTTGAATTTGGATCTTTTGCCGTTTATTTTTCGCGCACAATTTAACAAGTTTTTAAAGTTTGTGGATTCACGAAAAAATGCGAAAAACACATTTTTATTTGAAATTATGATTTGATTTAAAATATATTTATCATATGATGAGTTGATGTGAAAAAGTGTGGCATTTTTTATGGAATTTGAAGTCATAGAATTGCCAATAAAACAACTGAGTTGTAATTTTGTTGTTTATTTATCTGTATATAATTTGGTTACCACGAAGTGTATTTGTGCAAATACTTGAACAAAAAAAAAATCGAATACAAGTGATAAAATATTATAATATTCGTTTTTATTGAAGTCTAAAAAGAGTTTTTACTAAACACCATACGGAACCAATGAGTTTTATAATTTTGTAATTAGTGATTATTACATTTAGTGACCACTGAATAAAACAAATGGCTGGTTATCACTTCAACAAATAATTAACCATAATGATTGACGTTAAAATTTAATACATTTCTTTATGTCTTTCTTGAATGTAACATCATTTTCCAGTTAGATTATTGAATCATCGAACCAAAAAAGTCAAAGTCAACATATTTTTTTAAAATTTGCAGTATGAAAAAAGTGGATCATATTATTCAGGCATTGCGTTAACGTAAAACTTCTAGAATTGATGTTATTATCTTTCATTGAAAATAAAACAAAGCGAATATCATTCACTGCAGTCACGAAAATAGGTGAAATTTTCATTTAAGACAAGTTTTTTTTTCAATAAATTGAGAATTATCAAACAGTACCTCTCAACCCTATATTGAACGTAGAAAATATTAAAAATGTATAACACTATATGTAGTAATATTACTTAAAAATCCAACAATTTAAAATTGGAATGAAAAAATACATCCAGCTCAAATCGGTTCAATATTTATTATTATGAATGAACAAGATATTATTTTGAATGTGTGTTGGTTTAAATCTCCATGTAGCCACTTGGCCACTATCCTACATTATAGTAACGAAAGACGTAAGACAAATTATCCAAAAAGATTTTTTGGGTTTGAACCAATTCAAACTAGTTAAAACTCGAATATCGATTTCAAGCATCGACTTGTGTGTTTGACTTTATACGTAATTTCTTTATATAAACTCCTTTGTTGTGGAAAGGCATAATATTTTGGAAATATATACATAAAAATCATAATATAATAATGATATGTTATCGTATTGAAGATTCTCCGCTTCAGTTTACGCACAGAGATTAACATTTATAACATTCATAATTTATTAGTTTCTTTTTCTGCGAATAGACACGAAAAAATCCTTTGTGTATACATTTATGTGGTTTTACGTAGTAAAAGAAATTGTATAATAAAAATTAAAAAGAGACAGAGAAATTTCAAAGAAAAAATAGAAGTATATGTATAAAATGGAATGTATGCTCGCATATACTTTCTGAGTTTTGTTCTTTGTGTCCATGCAGCCATGAAGTTGTACATTTTTCAAATTGTGCGATATGGGATTGAATTATCATAAAATTAATCGTTTCATCTCCTAAGGGATCTTACAAGCTTAACCCATTTTATTTTATTAAAACTAATTAATTAGTATTGTTGATATTTTTTTTAAACGTTGAATTAATTTGGCTCATAAAAGCTCTTTCTAATGGAATAATTTTTATTTTACAGATAAAATTCATCGTCTAAGAACTAATTGATAAATGAGTCGTTTTCAAGTGTCACAAGTTGATGGTGGTGGTGGTGGTGGTGGTGGTGTCAGTACAGATACACCTAATGGTAATGGCGGAATTGATAATCCTGCCATGGATCCAGTTGAATTAAATGTATATGGCTTGTATTCGAAGCGCAATTCGGTCACATGTCCAGCGCAAGGAGAGCTCAAACGTAAAAGCAGCTACGGTTTCACACATCTAACACGGTTTGTAAATTATTTACAATAATATCATTGGTTAGCTATAGTTCTCACAAATTACAAATGATTGCTATTTTCACTATTGTAAGTTTTGTTGACATGTTTGCACTGACCATTTATCACCTTTATCAAAGAAAATGATTCTTAGCCCGAAATAAAAAGAAAACATGTAGAAGAGGTATCTTTTTAATAGTCACAAGAATGTGTTTGTTAAATAAATTGACTTTATCGTCATACAGTGTGTAATGTTTGAAATACTGTGACGTGTAAAATTCATCAAATTTAAATCATTTCTCATTCCTTCTAATAAATCATCCGAATATAATTTTGGTCATTTAAATGAAAAACTTTGAATATTTTTTGAATCCATTCTGAAGTAACAACAAGTCAAATGAATGTTGCGCTATAGTCAAACTCACACGACAAATATACAAAACAATGTAGATGGTCACAATAACCACTAATTTGGGTCGTATTGTTGATAAATTATTTATTTTTTTCATAATTATTATCACATTTTTTCCTAAATTGTTCGTTAAATACATTAGATTTTGTATTTTTTCCTACATAATATTTAAAAATGAACGTTCGCGTACAAATAAAAATATTGTTCCATAATTGTAATTCCCTAAAAACAAATTTAAATTGAATGAAGTTGTTTTTATTTATTTTCATAATAAGAAAAAACATCGTGTTCAGATAGCGTATAAAAAGTTTTTTAATAAAAACCGAGAAATTAAATTTTCCTGACACTTTTTCTCCATACTGATTTTATTTATTTTTAATTTGGAATGCATGCTCACAAATACAATTGAAGTGAATTCTAACCGTTTGAAATCTTCTAACTTTTGCGAATATTATACTGTTATCATTTCAAGTTCTATAAAAATACCAAAAATCCAAATGTGGTTCGTTGTGGACCTTCAAACTCGTTTTTTTTAGTTCATGATCGGCCTATTTGAATATAGAGCTTTAAGACATGTGCGTGTAATTTACGCTCTGGGCTATGAATACAAATGTGCTAATGTTAATGACCATGAATTTGGGCTGAATGTACAGTATTCGATCTGAGGTCATTTTAATTTCTTTTTATTTTTTGGAATTCATATTCCGAATAATGATTTTTTTATTAATTAAATACAAATGAACATAATTACAAAAATTTCACATTTTCGACTTTGGAAGAGTTAAAATGAAAAAAAAAATCTCCCGTCTAAGTAACATTGTAATATAATAATGGATAAATGTTCAATGAATTTGTTTAGTTCCTGACATTTCGTTTGTTGATTTTGTGCAGAAATTATGTATCATTTTAATAATATTTTATTTGAGAAAATCGCCTTCAATGGCGAAAAGATCGTAACTGAAAAAATGGCACCCATTTGTTTATAGATTTTAAGAAATTTGAAACGATTGCAATTGAGACTTGAAAATTGAGCCTATATCTTATGTTTTCACATCAAAAAAGACCATAGGAGAATAAATCAATAAAAAAAATCCAATGAGAAAACATTATTCATTACAGCCTATAGTTGCTTGTGTACAAGACAATTTCGTTGTATGCTCGAGTGTGAAAATGTTGTTAATCATCAGAAAGGGATCATATTGCATCAAAACAATCAATTATTTTTTTGGACAGAATTACAAATGGGAGCAAAAGAAAAGTGTATTACTTCACACAAAATTACTATGCAATATTTCTAATTCGCATTAAATTTTTCTTACTCACATACTCAAATATATGAACAGGGTGAATCATTGGAAATCCTCGCGATAATTTACGATTCAGAAGTAACTTCCTTGATGTGTTGTGTTCGATTGATGAATCACCCGGTCTACTACTTCAAACAAAAATGACTTAGCGCAAACAAGACGTCAAAAAAATTCACATGTCTCGCAGCTCAATTTCTTCAACACATCACGCTAATGCACTTACAATACAGAACATTCAACGTTTTCGTAAGAAATTCATTATTGTTATGTAGCTCAAATGATATCTGCTGTCTAGAGCGTCAAAAATTAATGATGAAATAAATAGAACTATAGTGATATTAGACAGAATTTATCAAAGTTGTGGCAAAAATACTGGATAAAATACCCATCTCAGTGGGAACATAATATTTTCGCGTTCTTTTATCGAAAATCGAATGACACTCTATTTACTTATTGGTAGGCGCTTTCCCTTTCCTCATACCCCGATATGTTTTTTTTTTTTCAATTAATATTAATCAGTGAATAAACATAGTCTGAGGTCATGCTCTGAGTACATCACTAGTTGCACGTGCAACCACGCATCATACACGATGCGATAGTTATAATGGGTGGGGACGTTTTATGAAAACGTAAAATCATGATGAGCATTGTTGTCATTTGAAGTTGAGTCCGTGAAAAACCACTCAAAGTATTGGCGTTACGATAGTATAAATATGTGTATGAATACACTTGAAACGTATCAAGTATGGTTCTGAGTTGTGAAATTAAAACAGCTGTCGACCCTCCGATGCTTTTTGAAATTCAGCGATTTTCCATCATCAGCATAATACAAACACAATTCAAGAAAAAGCAATTCAATTTTTCGCTCTGTAACTTTCATGAATAATAACAATTCGTAATAAATGATATAGTATAATTAATGCCAAGTGAATGAGATTTTTTTTACATTGATTCTGTTATTGTTGTGCGAAAGAAATGCAATGCAATAAATCGTAAAGAATCTTTATTATATTTTCGTCTTTATTCAATACTTGGGAAAAACCAATGGGTTGATGTGTACATGCTTTTCCGAGCTGTTGTACTTCGAACAAAATTTGTGCAAATATTATGATTTTTAAATGACGCCAGGAAAATCAGACTGTACATTTCATCATTTCTTTTAGAAGAGCTTCACCATTGGCGGTTTCGTTCAGTTCCGTCTGTTATTCTTTTCTTTTCTCCTCTTTTCAATTACGAATTGATCTAAATTTAGAAACGCTGCTCTGTGCAAACAAAACAAAAACGATATGAGCTGTATGGAATTTTTCATGATTTGAATTCATACTGGTGCAAAAACCTATTCGTAATTGATGTATTTATATGCGAATTCCATCGAATGAAACCGATTTGATACGGAAATGTTTTATTGATGAATCAAATTATGCTACGCAGAAATTTGAAATTTGATAACTATATATTCTAATTTGTATGGACATTTTTCATGTTAGAAACATTGAAAATAGTTGAAAACGAACTATTTTCCAATTTTACATAAAAGAAAAATCGATTTTTGGTAATAAAAATTAAAACCATTATATGCATAACGTGATTTACGGCTTGAAATAGAGCAGATCACCCACGGAAAACGCGCACATCACACAAAAATGAAATCGAAAATAGATCGACCTCTTGTGTTTCTTTTGTTTTGCTTTAACATGAATAACAACATTGTTTATCGGCACACGAGCCACAACGTGCTCTACTTGGTCAATGTTAACATAGTCATATTTCTTTTCTGGCGCTTACTTTTCATCCATACTGGTATATATATATTGTTTGTTACAATTTCTTGATTTTCTTTTGTCTTTGTAGAGAGGTAAGTTACTGTTTCCTTCAATTTTAACAACCCATTGATCCTAAGCATTGAAACCATTCATTGTTCAACTGTACTAGGCGTTGCCGCGATTAGGTAAGTAAGCGATGATTTTACTCTCAAAGACCAATAGATCCTAAACATTCAATCTTAACGTTATTAGATAACTATCGGTTGTCATTACGAGCATTCAAGCGACCTTCAATCAGCTTATTGCATGGAGAGGTTTTGGAACACATACCCGTAAGTTATTGTCTTTTTTGGATGAAATCGCCTTTTTTAATTTGTTTACTTACTATATTTCCTTATTTTATTGTTACTCGGAATTTTTACACAATAAAAAAGAAATATTGTTCAATCCACGGCTGAAGCAAATTCTAAATAATGTAATCCATTTTTCTCGTTTTTTTAATTTTATATTTGTCGTTTTTGTTTGTTTATTGTTTGTAATTTTTTCTCATTACATCTTCCAGTTAATGAATTTTATTACATTATATTGTCAGAAAATAATACTTAAATTATCTGGTTTGACTACCAGCTGATTTACAAACGAGAAAAGTACATAAGTAAGTAGTGTGTTTGAAAATACATGTTACATCGACGACGTCATTTTTTATCTATTTTATTGTGTCTTTTGACACAATGCCACACTACACTGATACTGAAAGAAATTTATCAAGAATGTACTAAAGAAAAATTTAATTAAAGCCATTCGGCGTGGTTTTAGTGATAAATGAATTAGTTCGGTCAAATCGCGATCAAACTAGTTCTACCACCACATTCAGATAGTAAATAATCAATTCATATTGGTTTCAATTTATCAAACATCTAGCTAACATGAATGATTCAGAATGAACGGTAGATAGATACTGATCATTTTTTTGTGTATCATTTCGAGTTCGTTTATTCTCAATATCATTTATATTAGATGAGGTTTATCCGTATGACACTTCAATTTGATAATAAATTGAATTAGCAACGTTTTGACATACATGATTTAAAAAAATAAACGAACTCATTTCCTACGATAATTCTATAACCTGCGGAATATTAAAGCTATTATGTTAATTATATTTATTGGTAACCATCACCGTCGAACTTGTGAATTTTATTTTCGTACCAAAATACATAATCTCGCCAAAGAAGAAATTTCAATGCTGAGGTACTCCCCATACAATATTTTTGATAATAAGTTTTTGGCATAACCCCTGTTTGTTTTTGGAATATCTTCAAACTACCGGAATGTAATTTGTTTGTCTTTTTTTCTGGACTTTAAAATTTATCTGGATTCAAAAATATAATATTTTAAGCAAAAGTGTCTCAAATACGTTTTTTATGTCGTATTATGTGGACGAATTTCTCGATACCGAAAACTTTTTTGGGCCACTCTTCTGGCTATTATATTCCAAATTTAATTGCTCTTGTTTATTGCTTCATGTAAATCAATGAGCTTTTTAAATTGATTTTACATAAGTGTAGAGCAAGTTTTAATTTTCTTTAAGTGGGCTGCGGATCATTTTATTTGTGATTTCCTCAATAATTCATATTATATGCATTAATTTCTTTCTAATAAAAAAGGAAACTGCAAAAGACGTTGAAGAACAATCATCTGTTAACCATTCAACAATAAAGCTGGGATGGATCGTTGGAGTATTGGTAGAGTATTTCAATTTTTATATATTTTTTGTAATTTTCTATTCGAATCAAGTAATTAAATGATTTTTTTATTTTTTCTTCATTCACTAGATTCCGTGCCTCTTAAACATCTGGGGGGTATTGTATTTTATTCTCCTAATTTGTTTTATATTAAATAATTTTAAAGTAAATTAAAATATCAAACATTTGAGTAAATTTTTATACTCATTAATTTTGATTGATATTTCTTAATATTGCAACTACAGTTCTTAAACAAATTCAAGATTACCATTAAATAACTGTTTCTTTGTTTATTTGTCTGTGTTTAGGTTATGTTGTTCTTGCGGGTATTGTATTAAAATATTTTATGATTATTCTCTATTTCAAATACTTATTTATTTTTATTAAAAATTCAATTAGTTGTCATGGGTAGTTGCTCAAGCTGGTATTTTCATGTCTCTATGCATCATTGCCATATCCTTCACTGTTTGTGTCATTACTACACTATCGCTGTCCGCGATTTCTACAAATGGAGAAGTTAAAGGCGGGGGAATATACTATATTATTTCGCGAACACTTGGCCCCGAATTTGGAGCTTCAGTTGGTATTGTATTTGCATTTGTAAGTACATAATTATTGAATTCCAAGAGGTGTATACACCATTTTATTGCTATTTCTCAGGCTAATGCTGTTGCAGCATCAATGAATACAATTGGTTTCTGTTCGTCACTTAACGATTTATTTAGTAAGTAGTTGAACGTATACTTTTTTATAAAAATCAAATTACATATGACTTATATTATTTTCATCAATATCATTGTAAACATTTTACAATAAACTATTTAATGTAATATTTACCAATATTTCAGAGGAAAAAGGATGGAAAATTATCGACAATGATGTGAATGACATACGGTATTTAATTGCTTTTTGTTTTATTTTTTTTATTTTTTATTATCGTCATATAATATAATTGATATTTTATAATATTTCAACTAAATGGAAAAGGATTGTTGGTGCTATCGCATTGGCTATCATGATCATTATTTGTGCTATTGGAATGGAGTGGGAGACAAAGGCACAAAATTTTCTTCTAGCCATTATTGTAGCGGCCATTTTCAACTTTGTTATTGGAAGTATTATTGGTCCGAGTATTGATGAAAAAAAAATCAGTAAAGGATTTATTGGATTCAGTAGTGAGTTTTAATTGGATTATTTTATTGGATTGTTCAATCAGCAATATCGCCAAATTTATCAGAAGATTTTACGAAGCGACAGCATCGAATTCATAAGGCTCTGGCGAAATATATGACTAATAAAAAGGAACACGCACTATCTCCGATTCTGCGTATACTTGTGCATTAGTGCGTTTACAATTCGCTAGAGCTGTTAGATTTCGATGATGTTTGCTCACTTCAAATATCCGGCTTAAATGAAATATTATTGTCAACCACATTTTTTTTTCATAGCGGCAGTTTTTTCGGAGAATTGGAGGCCGGACTATAGATTCAGTGAAAAAGTCAATCAGAATTTTTTCAGTGTTTTTGCAATTTTTTTCCCAAGTGGTCAGTATTTTTTGGCCGACAAACCAGTTTCTAAGATGCGCTTAAATTTTAATAATTAGTTTTGAAATATTTTAGTGACGGGTCTACAGGCTGGTGCTAATATTTCTGGAGATTTAAAAGATCCTTCGACCTCGATTCCCAAAGGAACACTGTTGGCTTTGTTAATTTCTGCAATTTCGTATGCAGTATTCGTTGTTTTTGCGGGCGGTTCGGCTGTATGTGATATTTTTTATATATTTTCAACAATTTTTTTTATTGATATCTGTTTTTAAATCATTTTGAATTGCCGAAAAGGTACGTGACGCTTCGGGAATCATCAGTGATATTGTAAATGGCACATTAGTTGGAGTTGAACCACATTGCTTAAAGAATAAGGTGGCTGAGAAAAAATAAGTAGAATACTGCTAAATCAGAACTAAAGCGGTTTATAAATATTACTTTCAGACATGCGAATTCGGTCTCCACAATTCATATACAATCATGCAATTAATGTCGAAATATGAAGGGCTCATTTATGCAGGATGTTGGGCGGCAACACTTAGTACTGCTTTAACAAATTTATTGTCCGTACCTCGATTGATTCAAGCTCTTGGTATCGATCGCATATATCCAGGCTTAATTTTCTTCTCCAAGGGCTATGGAAAACACGGTGAACCGTATCGTGGATATGTTCTAACATTTTTCATTTCATTAATATTTTTACTTATTGGTACGAACGAATAATTTTTTGCACTTTCAATTGAATCAAGAATATATAAAATAAATTTTGACAATAATTAATTTTTCAGCCGAATTGAATCTCATTGCCCCGTTGATCAGCAATTTCTATCTCGCTTCATATGGTGAGTTCTAAGTGTCTAAAAAGAAATATATTTTATGTAGTTTTTTTCTGAATTAAATTCACAGCGCTAATCAACTTCTGCACATTTCATGCTGCTTTTGTAAAGCCGCTAGGCTGGCGTCCAACTTTTAAGTATTATAACGTGTGGTTGAGTTTATTTGGCTTCGTATTGTGTGTGGCTATTATGTTCCTTATTCATTGGGTGTCGTCTTTGATAACATTCATCATGATTTTGGCTTTGTATTTGGTAGTGGTTTATCGTAAGCCCGATGTTAGTTGATAATTACTTCTATATCAATTTTTTTTTTGTTAATTTTTATTTATTTTTAGTAATAATTGTTATTTTTTTAGGTTAATTGGGGCTCAACAGCACAGGCTCAAACATATAAATCGGCGTTAACATCTACATATCGACTTACACAAATTGGCGACCATGTGAAAAATTACCGTCCACAAATTCTTGTTTTGGCTGGAACATTACAAAGTCGTCCACCTCTCGTTGATCTAGCCAACTTGATTACTAAGCATAATTCCTTGATGATTGTGGGAGATGTTATAACGGTAAGATGACAACTTGTTTTACTTAGTGCGGCCAATCTGAAAATTTTATATTCTCTAGAAAAAGATATCCTACAAAACTCGACGACGAATGATCGACGAAGGACAACGGTAAAATTAAAAGAACTATTTGAATAATTTATAAAAATGGTAATATTAATATAATTATTTTAGGTGGTTGACTGGACGGAAAATTAAGGCTTTCTATAATATTGTTGAGGGATTAGATTTCGAGACGGGTGTTCGAGCTTTGATCCAAACATCAGGTGTTGGGAAATTGGCACCAAATATTTTACTCATGGGCTATAAGTCAGACTGGCAAACATGTAATCACCAAGATTTGGTCTCTTACTTCAATGTTTTGCAGTAAGTATTAAACATAAAAAATGTATAGAAAGAAATATTTTACTACACGATTCATGGTTATATCTTCATATTAGTTATGCGTTCAGCAATCGATTGTCTGTGGCAATTTTACGTTTGCCTAATGGACTAGATCTATCGTTAGATGTCGAAGTTGATACAACACCACCAAATGGCCTGGCGACTCCGACTAGTTCGTTTACAAACTTTAATAACTTAGAAAATGGAATCGGAAGCTCAAACTTACGTAAAGATGTGCTACAGTCACAAAATCAAAATGGAGCTGCACCCACAATAATGCATGCCGATTCATACTTGAACATTTACAAAATTCCACCATCGACAACAGCAGCAACAGCTTGTAAGACTATAAAAAAAATAGTTTTTTACGTACGATCATATTAACGATTTCTTTTTAATAAAATTAATTCAGCAAAAGTATCTACAGAGTCCGCCACTCAAATTAATGAAAAAGTTGTAGAACAGAAAAATTGTCGAAAAGCCAATCTTTCTTATACATCCAACGATTCAACAATACCAAAAGAATTACTCAATCAGTTAGGAATATTCCACTCATCATCACATAATGGAACGATCGATGTTTGGTGGCTTTATGATGATGGTGGTCTTACCATTTTGATTCCTTACATTTTATCACTGAGATCACAATGGTCACGTTGTAAAATTCGCATATTTGCTTTAACCAATCATCAAATGGAGCTCAAAGTGGAAGAGCAAAAGTAAGTTATTCTACAATATATTAGAAATGAATATATATAAAAATATATATATATATATTGTATTTTAAACAAACTATTTCTTTTTTTTTTGTGTAGCATGGCCAAACTACTTGCAAAACTCCGCATTGATTACTCATGTTTAATTATGCTGCAAGATGTAAAACAAAAACCGAAACCTGAAACAATGCAACTGCATAAGTCGCTATTAGATGGCTTCAATGAGGGACAAGAATCAGAATGTGTGACTGAAGCAGAAAAATCCATCCTCGAAGAAAAAACCAATTTACAATTACGATTACGTGAGCTACTTTTGAAACACTCCACCGATGCATCTTTAGTGGTGATGTCCCTTCCCATGCCAAGACAAGGTGCTGTCTCAGCCGCACTATATTTATCATGGTTGGAAGTACTCACAAAGGACATGCCGGCATTTTTATTGGTTCGGGGAAACCAGAATTCAGTATTAACATTTTATTCTTAGTCAATTCAAACTCACATTTTTTCTAGAGCTAACAATTTTAGAATTTAATTAATCAAGTATTTAAAAAAAAAACAGATATTAAGCCATTTGAACCAACATTATTTTCGCACCATAATAATATTGTTAGTTTTTTTAAAAATAAAGAGTCTTACGGGAGTAAGACGAACTTTTCCGCACGGTGGTAGTTGCGTATTTTATTTAGAAAGTTCAAAATATCATTTGTTCGATTTTTCAAGCCATTCAAGCGGCGTAAAGTTCGAGACCAAAAAATATGTTCCAACATTGGCAACGAAATATTCTTTAATTTAATAGCAGAGGTACTCGAGAAAAGATTTTTCACACTTTCATGATGAACCCATTTGTACGACATTTGAAAGTATTCTATTTTCTAACAAAACACTATAAAAAATATGTCTGATGTTAATTTTGCCATAGAAATTATTTTTGAAACACTTTTCATAACTAAAGTCACAAAAAATTTGGATTTTTGTATGGGAGCCATGTCTGTATTCTACCTAATGGCGTTAAACTTTGCAAAGGGTATTTTTTTTTCACAAAAAAATAACATTCGGTGGGTTTGGAGAAATTTCAACCAAAATTAAAGGTACCTCCCATACAAAATATTCGTTTTTGAGCCAAAAACTGAAAATGTTGTATGGGAGGTACCCCTAATTTTGATTAAAATCTCTTCAAACTTGCAGAATGTTTTTTTTTTGTGTAAAAAATAGTCTGTGAAAAGTTTCACGTCATTAAGGTAGCATACAAGCATGGCTCCCATACAAAAATTCAAATTTTTTGTGATTTTTTCAAGGAAACTGTATCAAAAATTGATTGAATCTCAAAACTAACCTCGGATTCGGTTTTTTCGTGCCAAAAAACCCCCCAATATATATTTTTGAGTGTTTAAGTCTACATTAAGTATGACTTTTGGACGAAAATTGGACTTTTTTTCATAGGTATCACTACAGGCAAGACATTTTTTTCCATCAACCGAAGTCGCTCAAAATCTAATGATTTCTATTCCTCGAGACCCCCAATCATCCTGTAAAGTCAGATTTTGAATTAAGTTTCTACGATGAGGGCAATCTTGCTAACAAATTTTGCGTACGACGTACAACGTACGACGTACATATTAACAAAAACCATGCTCGAAACGGCCAAATTCGTGTTCTCTGACCTCAATAATGGGTAGAAAACATGTTTCTGAAGTTTTCAAAATTTTGACCGATTACAATACTTTTCACGTTACACTATGTGTGCGGAAAATTAATTCACCTTACACTATGTGTGCGGAAAAATAAAAAGATCTCAAGTCAAAGATAAAAAAGTGTATACCACGCACACCTCTGAAAATTGGCCGTCCCCATTATGAGCCATGATTTATGACATTTGGAGCCAAAAAAATAACCTAAAAGTCCATATTTTAATTGCATTTCAAAATTATTAAGATTCATGTGTGTGGAGATGTTTTGAATCTTCAATTTGGAAAATTACTCTCACAAAATTACTGATATCAAATTAACAACCTCTGAAGAGGTGAAGAGCGAGTGACGAAACCAAAATATGAAACACAAAATTTCTGATATCAACTTTGAGACGAAAATAAATGATAGATAATTTTTCTGTGTACTGTCAAAAATGGCCATTTTTTCAAACAATCGCTGTGACACCTATACTTGACTTACGCAAGGCATATGCATATTCGTTGGAAAGGTCTTAAAGTAAGCTATCGAATAGTGCCAATTGCGACTTAAAAATTTCAAGTTCAGGTGGCCAAATCGGTCAAAAATCAAAATTTGACCGTCTGGCCGGACACATAACGGTCACTTTCTCGAAAAAAACTGCATAGGTTCTTTTTAAAAATTCATCAATTTTAGCCCCAAGTCAAAGATAAAAAAAATGTGCATACCACACACCACTGCTAAAACCTCTGTTGCTCATTATGATCCATAATTTATATCATTTTGATCCAAAAATAACCTAAAAATCCACATTTTCATTGTATTTGAAAAATATTCAAATCCATGGGTCTTGAATCTTTAACTTGGAAAATAGCACTTACAAAACTATTGATATCAAATAAAAAACCTCTATCGAGTTAGAGAACGAGTGACGAAACCTACATTTGAAACACAAAATTTCTGATATCAATTTTGTGACGAACAGTGTGTGTTTAGTTGGTAGATATATTTTCTTTGTACTGTGAATATAAACTTAATACGTATACATTTGTAAATTCGGAACGTTGCTTCATTGCGTCAGTATGAACTCAAAGTAAAAAGGAGAAAATTTCTGCAACGTTTTGAATATACAAATGTATATTAAGTTTATATTCACAGTACAAAGAAAAAATATCTACCAACTATTTTCGTCACAAAATTGATATCAGAAATTTTGTGTTTCAAATGTAGGTTTCGTACTCGTTCTCTAACTCGATAGAGGTTTTTTATTTGATAAACATTTACATGAATTTATTGAAAAATTTATCACGTAGTTTTCATTTTTACCGACAATTATTCACACAGAATCAGTTTCATCATATTTTCGACGGGAAATGTTTGAAACAAGTGAAAACGACAACCGTGGGGAAAATTGAAAAAAAAAAAACGATGCACAAGCGCAAAAATCATGTCTTTTCGATTGTTTGTGCCATCAGTTTCATACTTTCAACGGAACATTTTTGAAACGAGTGGAAACGATGAATGGATAACAAGAGATAACGATGGAAAACGTCAGACTGAAGTGAACAAGCGTCAAAACCCCATCTGTCCGATTGTCATTGTTTCTGTTAATCGCTTCTTCTTATGAATAACAAAATATTATTTTTGAGATCTTATAAAAGGTTAATACAATTCACGTTCATTCTCTCTTTTTAAGCTTCTATTAAAAGTTTAAATTCCCATCGTAAAGTGTTGGTTTCACAAAATACTAATTACCATTTCCTTGTTATTATGCAGTGTCACCATGAGCTATCCACAAAAAAAGCCAAAATTGTCACACTCACATAACCAAAATCAAAATGAAGAGCCGGTGGCAGGTCCATCAAACGATGAATCTCCGCCGAAAATATTCAAATTGAACATCGATTGCTTTGACGAGATATTTGAATATTTGGGCGTGAAAGATTTGCATTCATTCGGACAAACATGCAAGCGAATGAACAAAGTGGCCGGCGAATATTTCAAACAAAATTATTATTCATCGGCTGAGAAATTCTGCGAAGAAGATGGAATATACATCTATTATTGGGACAAAGAGGGTGTTATAGATGAACGCATTCAAACATCTGGTTTTAATAAGTTCATGCCATTCATTTCAATTGATTATCATTATGTGTGCGCTCAATCGTGGGGTCCACTCAAATATATTAAATCGCACATCAGTGAATTTGAGTCAACTAAACACATTTATCTGTCGGAATTAGATATTAATAACGAAACAGTTGACCATTTTAAACCACTGTTGCCCCAACAAGAAATTATACAACACGAATATTGTTCAGTAGATGGTGACTTTTACGATTTGATATTGAAATATTGTAAGAATTTGAGAGAGATTTATGTTCAGAATTCGGAGTCCGGTAACCGAATGAATGGTAAACTCAACTGGTTATTGCAAGAATATCCAAAGCTTGAACGATTAGAATTGATGCCTGATGATTCTTACAAATTTGAAGAGCTACGTGAATTTTTCGTACGCAATCCAAATGTACAGAGATTTTCAATTACCTTAGAATATTTGTGGCAGAACGCTAACATATTTTTAAATTCCAATGCAAAATTGGATATATTTGAGGTCAAAAGATTTTACTTTTATACGTGGACTCCCTCATGTGAGAAACCTCAAACTACTTTGGACTTATTAAATCGACTCCATGAACAAGGCTTCTATAAACGACTATACATTTACGCCGAAAGAGTTGATGAAGAGGGCAGTATTTCATTAGCCTCACTCAAAGGTCTCGAGCTATTGTGCATTCGATGTTTCTACAAGAGTTATAATTTACCCCAATTGACCAATCTGAGAGAATTAATTATTTTGCGTAATTCGAATGCTGAGGATATGGACATTTTAGCAAATGGCCTGACAAAACTCGAACGTCTTTACTTTGATGAGGCTAACGTCGATGACATTATGCCATTCATTCGTCGATCACCGAAAATGAACAAAATCAAATTTATGCCACGGGACGAAGGTGTAGTTTTGAATTTGGCAATGATGAATGAGGAACGTGCCAAGTTGGCCGGAGCACGAAAAATAATAATTTATACGCGAGATGAGGTCTTCTTGGCTACTAAATGGACGACCAGAAACGGTGACACGAATTTGAGCTTCATCGAAATGAGAAGAGAGGATTCATTTGAATGGAATCATCATTATGAAATATAATTTTTTTGAAAAATAAACTTTTTTTATTTCAATCATCAATCAGATCAATGTTTCATTTAAATTTAAAATCTTTTCAGATTCGTTTTTGAAAAAAAGCTAAAGAATATTGTCTTTGTCTTAGAATTTTTATATTGCACACCTACAGTCACCCCAAAACATGTTTTCTATGCAAATTTCATGTAGAAAACACGATTGGAGATGATTTTGGGGCATAATAATGTGCGTCGCTGTTTGTGATGTGTCCTGTGGCGTGCAAAATTTGTTAACACGATAAATCTCCTTCCAAAAACTCAATTCAAATTCTGACTTTGCAGGATGATTTGGGACTACTAGGAGACGTGCTGATTAGTTCTATAGACCGGTATAACTTTTTTTGGTCCGAATGGAGTACCCACATCTATACATTTTTTGATCATTTTTCAACCATTTTGGTGACACGATGGTTTCGTACTCAGACATGAAATTCAAAATCTGACTTTACGGGATGTTTGGGCACTACGTGGAATAGATCTGGTCAAAAATTTCAACGACATTGATTGATCGGCGTAAAACTTAGACTCTGAAGAGGAACTTATGAGAAAAATGCCTTAAAATGATATTCTTTCAATTTGAACGCTGAAAGAATGTGTAGTGGGAGTTTTTTTGGCACGAGAAACCCGAATCTTATGTTAGTTTTAAGATGCAATCAATTTTACACAGGCTTTTCATACAAAAATCCACAAAAAATTTCATTTTACTTTTCCGCACACATAGTGTAAGGTGAAAAGAATTCATATGAATTTCTTATATTTTCTTATAAAAGTCATTT